GTGTGTGTGTGTGTGTGTGTGTGTGTGATGTGTGTGATGTGTGTGTCAGCATCTAAAAATGATTCAGTTTGCAGTCTCGCACTAAACAACACGTTACTAACCTATGTAGATGTGTGTTTGCTTGTCTGTGTGCCGTACATGTTGAAACCTTATGTTGCTCAAACATAGGTGGTGAAAACCTGTGCACACAGATGGCAGAAGACAAGAAGAAAACAGAAAATGTGAGAAAGAAACAAACCCAGAGGGATTTAAAGGAAGAGGGAGAAATTAATTGTAGAAATGGATACAGTTGAGTCTTAAAACATTTGGACAGCAATATTTAACAATTTACCTGTGTGTTTGACTAAAATGAAATGACCAAAACACAGCCTTCAGGCTTTAACAGTGACATACTGTATCATGTAAAATCCATATTTGTTGTGTACTTGGAGTCTCTAAAAGTGCAGAAAAGTTCAATTTAGTTTCTCCTGGTGCTGTGTAGATATCTTTATATTCTGTTTAAGTCAGATTTTTCCATCTGTTCAGTTTTCTCTATTTCTTATTAAGGATTTTGAACTATAGCATCACAGTATTTGCTACAGAACTGTTAAACATGGTCAAATTAGGACGACTACGTGTCTTCATTCTCATCTGGCTCTGGGTCAGACTCTGGCTCCTACATGTAAGGCTGGAGGGACAAGTCTTTTGTTGGTGACATCTTTTAAACAATTCATAAATAAAAAGTTTCTGCTCTGCTATATATTTGCATCTCTGCTATCACACTGGAGAGGTGTGAAGCACCTCATTTGCATTTAAAGAGGCAGCACCAAAATGAGTTGCTCTCAGACTCAGAAGGGGAGTGAAAGATGGGCTTTCAGGGAATTCAGACCAAAGTATCGCAGTTCTACTTTTTATAGGCCACAATGGAATGGTTTCAACATGAAAAGGAAGTATTTCAAACCCTATGTCCCCTTTAAATAGTTTAAAAAGACTCTAAGTAACACTCATTTAATTTTGACCAAAGCTCAGCCAGAAGATTAAATTAACTTTAGTTCAGATGTGGCAGAATAGTTATTCAAGCTGTTTACACTAAGAAGCATGTTTGTAGATTTTAGAACAGGGCTATTCAATTGGCGGACCGGACAGAAGTCACATCCAGCTCACCAATAAGCCCACATGTTCTGTTACATACTGCAGTCTTTCACCTACCATTAATGGGCAATGCCCCACCGCAACAACCCCCCCACCCCGCCCCGGATGTCCAGCTCCCGAGCGGTTGGCTTTGAGCAATTGTGGCCCCCTGAGCAAATTAGTAGAATAGCCCTGTTTTAGAAGTTTATACGCTGCATCTAAGGTTATCCAGTGCCACTCCAACTAAATTTAACCATAAATGTAGATGTAAATAAAAAGCATGAGGTATAGTAAACAACTTCTGAGTCAACTGTCCAATTATGTTTGAAAAAGTGGGCTCAGTATTGCTGAACATTTTCTTTAAGGGTGGCTTGAATAAGAGAAAATGTGTCAAAGTAGAGCTCTGCAGAGCTCTACTGAAAAGGCTGCCAAAAGCAAATGACAGCTTTAGAAAATGCAATTCATGAATCAAAGCCAACCTGACAAATGAGATGTGAGTTTGAGAACATCTATGTATTTTTTTTTTACAACTCAGCTCACAGTAAAAATAAAGAGCTGGTTTCCAGACTGCATTTAGTATTATCTGCACTGGGTTGAATCACCCCTGTACCCCCCCCCCCCCTTAAAACCCCAAAATAACCCCCAAACATCGTCTCCAAAGTGTTCTCTCTCACACACACAGACACAGAGTGTCACATGAYATCTCATTCCTGGGGGTTGTCGTGACAGTTATAGGCACAAGACTGTCACCAAGGACACAACTCATATTCTGGGTCTGACATCATTCAGAGCACAGCCGCCCTCCACCCCACGACCATAATAACTAACAAACACAGTGACCTACCTACATTTAACTGCACTTAGTCTGATGTCCTCAGTGTACTGAGGGTCAAAACTACTAATACATTATGCACATTATAGTAGTTGAAATGTACATGCAAATACAAATTATTAAAATAACTGATGTGTTCAACACTGCAGTGCAGTCTCTGATTCTTGTGCCTGCTTTTGTTGGGTTTATTTTGATTATTACTTTATTTTGAGGTTTGTAATGTGATCCATGCTGAGAAAATGAGTCAGAATGAGCACAGGCTGCAGTGAAAAAAGGTTAAAATATGGATTTTTACCATAAGCAAGACTTGTAAAAAAATGGGTTCATGAAGACATTTACCAGTCAACGCCATCTTTAAAAACACTTCTGATGACATCATTCTGGACTAATATGAAGAATTTTCAAACTGGCACATCACAAACAAAACTAGCTTGTTGCCAGGCCAGGTGATAAAGCGCTGAACTTCAACAACCTGCATACAATGGGGTGCAAAAGTTTGGGCACCCTTGTTAATTTTCCTGATTTACCTTTATAAATCTTTGATTGTTTGGATGTTTAAAAAATCTGTTAAATATATAATATAGGGGACAAACAGTGATATTTGAGAAGTGAAATGAAGTTTATATGATTTACAGAAAGTGCAATAATTGGTTAAACAAAATTAGGCAGGTGCATAAATTCAGGCACTGTTGTCATCTTATTGATTTCAAAACCTTTAGAACTGATTATTGGAACTCAAATTTGGTTTGGTAAGTTCAGTGACCCTTGACCTCCATACACAGTAGGGTTGGGCATAATCGTATCATGTGCAATTAATCGCCAGAAAAACACTAATCGATTATTTTTCTGGCACTTGACGATTAATACGATTAATGCCATCAGGCAGACTGACGCTTGGTGCTCCTCTCCGCTTCGAATATGAAAAACATTTTTTA